CATGTCTCCTACCCTCCAGGATCTTGAGAAGATTCCAACCAAGCACCTCCTTTAAGTCCTTGACAAGACAGCTAACGTGAGAGGACAGCTACTTAACGCCAATAGCTTTTCATTATATTTAGAATAAAATAAAACGTAAATTCTCTTTGTTTGTTTATCTGTGGTGCTGGGGATCAAACTCAGGGCCTCACTTGTTAAAAACATGCTCTGTCATTGAGCTTCGTTCCCAGCCCCATCCCTAATGATGCTTCGGGTTTTGTTTTGGTATTTGTTTCCTTGTGTTACTGGGGATCGAACTCAGGAGTGCTCTACCACTGAGCTAAGTCCCCAGCCCTTTTAATTTTTTGAGACAGGCTCTTGCTAAGATGCTGAGGCTGGCCTCAAACTTGTGATCCTCCTGCCTCAGCTTCCCAAGCAGCTGGGACTACAGTGCCTACCACCACGCCCAGCTGACCTAGAAGGCCGGAGCCTCTGGCCTGACCTCGCCCATCACTGCTTCGTCCTACCTGCTCTACCTTCGTCCTACCTGTCAAATCCAGTTCCAGCCAGGCAGGGTGGCACAGGCCTGTGATCCCAGGCATGGGATTGGGAAGCTGATGCAGGAGAATCACACATTTCAAGCTAGCCTCAGCAATTTAGCGAGGCCCTAAGCTATTTGCTGAGACCCTGTCGCAGAAAATAAAAAGGGCTGAGGATGTGGCTCAGTGGAAAAGCACTAGTTTTAATCCCCAGTACCCCAAACAAACAAACAAACAAACACAAAATCCTCAGGGTCATGGCTTAATTTGTTCCCTCTGCCTGAAAAGCTATTTCCCCTGATGGCTGCTTTGCTGGCTCCTCGGGTCATTCAGATGTCAGTGCAAATGTCACTCCTCTGAGAGGCCATTCCTAACCTTCAAAACGCTGCTCTCCACCCCCAGCGCCCTTTCTAACATCCCCTTTTATTTTTACTTTGCCCCCTTGGGGACACCTGCCACTTCTGAAAATACCTTACATGGTCAGTCATTTCCGGTTTATCTTCACCGTTAGGCATCATGCTGCGTGCGCAGTAGCCTCCTGGCCTGCCACATCTCAGCACCTGGACAGGGCTGGCACGCACTGGGCACCCAGCCAGTAGCCGTGGAATAAAGGACCCAAGTGGGGAATCCGATGAGAATCTCCATCCTGTGACCGACCACAGGTGGCTGAGGACAGTCCCTAGCTCCTGACCCAGGCAGAGGTCCTGCCTCATTCCTGGGTTGCCTAGCCTGCCCTCTTCCCTGGAGCCACTCCCTCCCAATCAGCATCTAACAAAAACTCTTTTGTGATGTAGGCCTGGGGGATTTTATCTGAGTCAGTTGGCCTCTGCAGCTCCAGCTCAGCTGAGTCCAAAGGTCTGCTCAGCGTTTCCAGTGAAACAGCCAGCAGCCCTGCGGTCTGAGGGCTAGAGCTCCACCCAGGGGAGCCTCTGCTCCCGGCCTGTTCAGTCCAGGGTCTTGTGGATAAATGCTGACCAACAAAATAGGAAAAGTAAAGCTATTTATTCTGAGCGTGCAGTAGCAAGCTCTCACTTGCTACAAAATTCACAGTCACTTGAATTTTGGCAGAGATCCTAAGGTGGTTCAAGGAGTGAGAAGGATTTCTGGTGGAAAAGGGAGGCCTCAGGTGTGCCCTGATTAGAGGCTGTGGGCCTGGAAGACCCAGGCATGCTACCAGAAAGGGAGGCATCCCTGTGTGATTATCAGGGGTGTGTCTTCTGCTTTCTCTGCTTGCTCCTAAATTGCAAGGGAGGACACAAATTAGGGAAACTGTCAGTTATTAATCAAGTTCTGGTCATTGGGGGCTGATTGTTTTTATAGAGTTTATTGCTTTGCTTCCTCAACTCTCAGAGATGGCAATCTGGCCTCTTTCTAGTCTGACTTCATCTGTATTTTATTTATTTAGTTAGTGAGTTTGGGGCTGTACTGGGGATTGAACCCTGTGCCTCACCCATGCTATGCAAGTGCTCTTTCCCTGAGTGATGTCCGCATCCCTTTGAGACAGGGTCTCACTAAATTGCCTGGACTGGCCTTGAACTCCTGGGATCAAGGGATCCTCTGCTTAGCTGAGACTACAGGCACACACCACCACAACTGGGTGGGGGTTCTATTTTTATTTATTATAATTTTCAGTATGGGGAACCCAGAGCCTTGTATATGCTAAGCATATTTTCTCACCACTGAGCACATCCCCAGCCCCAAGAGTTCTAATTTTTTTATAAATTGTTGATAGATCTTTATTTTATTTATTTGTTGGTATGTGGTGCTGAGGATTGAACCCAGGCCGCACGCACACCAAGTGAGCGCGCTACCGCTTGAGCCACATCCCCAGCCCAATATCTTTATTTTTATTTTAATGTGGTGCTGAGATTCAAACCCAGTGCCTTACACGTTAGGCCAGTGCTCTACCTTTGAGCCACAACCCTGCCCAAGAGTTCTATTATTATTATTTTTTTTTAGATGTTGATGGATCTTTATTTTATTCATTTATTTACATGTGGTGCTGAGGATCAAACCCGTGCCTTGCACGTGCTAGGCAAGCACTCTACCACTGAGCCCCAGCCCCAGCCCCAAGAGATCTATTTTTATATATGGGCCGGCCACCATTCATTTGTACGTCCAGTTTCTTAGTCTACATGGATCTGTGAGACACACAGGATGTGTGAAAGGGCTTTGTGTGTTGTGCAGGTTCTAGTGTGAGGGAAGGCCGTGGGAACCTGATGGAGAGGGCTTGTCTCATCAAGATGAGGAGACTGACTGTCAGCACTGGGTAGTGACAGTAACAAAACCAGCATTTAGTGAGTGTGAGTCACTGCCTTGAGCCTTCATAGAACCCCCACAATAATCCTAGGAAGTAGTTACTATTAATATCTTCATTTTTACAGATGAGGAAACTGAGGTACAGAATGATAAGGGAAATTGCCTAGGATCACAAGGTAAGCATCAGAGGGGAACAATGGTTATATTGTTGTGCTTTGCAAAGAATTATTTATTTTTTGTGGTACTGGGGACCGAACGCAGTGCCTTGCACAAGCTAGGCAGGTGCTTTACCACTGAGCTATATACCCCTTACCCTGCTTTACCCATAATTAGTTGCAGGTGTGTTCCCCTAAGTGCTACCTTCTCAATCCAAGTTTTTGCCCTGGGCTGGGACTACTGCTTAGTGGCAGGGCCCTTGCCAGAAGGCCCTGGGTTCAATTTCCAGAACCACAAAAATAACCCAAAGTCTTTAGCTGCATGAGGTGAAGTGCCTATAGTCCCAGCTGCTTGGGGGAACAGGGCTGGGGGCTCACCAGAGCCCGGGGCTTTTAGCTAGCCTGGGCAACATAGCAAGAATGTCTCAAACATAGTCTTTGTCCTTGAATGTTTGTCCTGATGAATCACTATTAGTCACTATACAAAAACAGCCACTGCTAAGTACCAGGTAGGGTCTAAGCACTGGCACATATCAACTCACTTAATCTTCTTCTTCTTCTTCTTCTTTTTTTTTTTTTTT